AGGAAAGGTTTTCTGAATGTTCAATAACTTAATATTAACTCAGTATCAAAAGCATAATGAATCCCAGGTGTTTCGGGAGTACTTGCTTGAGTTGCATCATGTGACTTCACTACAGTCTTGGCTCTGAGTACACACTGTGTGTGCTTTGCACAGGGTATGTCTTTCCTACAGTTACTTTCCTACAGCTGTGATGAGACACCATGCCCATGCCCACTTACAGAAAGAAAGAGTTTATTGAGGCTTCCATTTCAGAGGGTGAGTCCCTGATCCTCACAGTGGGAGCATTGCAGCAGACAGGCATGACACTGGAGCAGGGGCTGAGAGCATACTTAGATCCTTGTCTCAAAGTACATGGGTGGGGTGGGTGGGCGTGCTACCTGGGAATGGCGGCATGGACTTTCAAAACCTCAAAACCTCCCCAGTGACATACTTCCTCCAACAAGGCCACACCTCCTAATTCTTCCCAAACACTTCCACAACTAGGAACCAAGCATTCAAATATATGAGTCTATGGAGGCTATTCTCATTCAAACTACCACAGGGCATGTGGTCACATGATGCAGTGCCACCAAGTGCTGCACGAAACACTCCAGTTCAGATTCAAGACTATTGTCAGTAATGAACTACAGTGTTTACTGTACATGCAAATTCTGCTCATATAGAAACATAAAGGCTTAATTATGATAAGCAAAGCCTTAATAGTTGACTATTGTAGTATTCAACATGTAAGTATCAAATTAAATTAAAATATCTTTGGATCATATTATGTTGTAGTTTTTTGTTTTATTTCATTTTATTTGCAACAAGGTCTCACTATGTAGCTCTTATTGGCCTGGAACTCACTATGTTAAGAACTATAGACCAGGCTGACTTGAACTCACAGAGATCCCCCTGCCTCTGACTCCTGAGTGCTGTATGTAAAGACATTTGATTTTAAAATTGTTTTTAAACTACTTGCTAACTTGAGTTTCATAAAAAAAAATTCTTCAATGACTTTGGGGTTAGGGAAAATTTGGGATTAGAACAGAGTTTCCAATAATTGTTTAGAAGACTTTGAACATACCTCAGTGTTTTGCACTACTTACTTATTCAAAGCAGCATTTCCAGCATTGATAATTAGGAAATCAAAATATTAATCAATTCTGAATAAGTTGGAAGAGGCTCCATATCTTATAGTATCAAATATTCAGACAGTATCTAGTTGTTTATCTAAACACAAATAATCACATTCATCTCATTATCATGCAAATGTATCTTTGTGTCTAACAAATGGAAAAGGTATTCATATACTAAACAATTGTTTTTAAATGAATTTGTGATTTATTATTAACAAAATTTTGATTTGCATACCTATTTTATATACCTAGATAGCCCATAACAGTCAAAACTTTTCCCGTGAATGCAGGTCTGAATGGACAAAGCTTCAGAGGCCTTCCTTGCTCTAGCCATGCACTATTCCTGGCCTAGAGATTTCTTAAGAGTAAAATCAGCATAGCAATGTGGATCACAGGGATCAGGGCAAGAAAAAGCTTCTAAACTTTGCTGTAGAACAATCTTTGTATTCTGTAAATATGTATTACTCTCATTGGTTAATAAAGAGCTGACTGGCCTATAGCTGGGCAGGAAGAGATTTGGCAGGAAAGCCAGACTAGGAGAATGCTGGGAAGAAGACAGGCAGAGTCAAGAGTCACCAAAAGAAGCCGGGCGGTGGTGGCGCACGCCTTTAATCCCAGCACTCGGGAGGCAGAGCCAGGCGGATCTCTGTGAGTTCGAGGCCAGCCTGGGCTACCAAGTGAGTTCCAGGAAAGGTGCAAAGCTACACAGAGAGACCCTGTCTCGAAAAACCAAAAAAAAAAAAAAAAAAGAGTCACCAAAAGAGACAGAGAGAAGCAAGATGGGCATGCCATACTGAGAAATGGCACCAAGCCACATGGCAGAGTGTAAATAAGGAATATGGGTTCATTTAAAATGTAAGAGCTAGTTAGTAATAAGCCTGAGCTATTGGCTGAGCATTTATAATTAATATTAAGCCTCTGTGTGATTACTTGGGAATGGCTGGTGGGACAGAAACTTCTGCCTACATAACCTAGTCCACTAAATTCTGTCAGCATGCTTCTAAAAGAACTCACCACAAGGGAGGTGACATGAGAGGACTACCTGATAGAGACTGCATCATGCTGGTGAATGTGAACTACCAGCTTTGGGGACAGGGGCGTGTTTTCATTGTTGTTTTTTTCATATTCCCATTGTATTTTGCTCAAGGTATTTCCCTCCAAATAAGTTGAGAACTATAGTGCTGAGAAGAAGGAGACCTCAAAAACTGTGACTGAGCGCAAAAGAGATAGGAAGGATAGGAATGACTGAACTTGCTCTCAGGGCCTGGAGAAAAAGAAAAAGAAAAAAAGAGGTTGGAATCTACCAGAGTTCTTCACTCTCCCCTCCTTCACCCTTATCCCCTTCTTCACCAATATTTTCCAATCCTTCTACTCCTTTTCATCATCATTACCATCATCATCATCACCATTACTCCACCCCCATCACCCATATCAGGAACCAAGAGGCCTGACCAAACATCATCCTTGATGATCTCTTTTATTTTGTTTTTTGTTTGTCTTTTTGAGACTGGGTTTCTCTCTTTAACTTGGGAGCCGGTCTTGGAACTCACTCTGTAGCCCAGGCTGGCCATGAACTCACAGAGATCCACCTGCTTCTGCCTCCTAGTGTTGGGATTAAAGGCATGTGTCACCACCACCCAGCTGATGATCTCTCTTAATTCATCCTCACCTGCATAGAATGATCAGTCAATCAGGTAAAGAAGCCTTCTGGTTCCTTATGATATCTCTTCCTGCTTGCCTTTTTCTGTGTTGGACTTGAGTGTTTTGTCAAATGCTTTCCAGGTTTCCATCTGAGTCTGCTGGGCTTTGAAGATGGAGAATTGCTCTCATGCAGATGAAATCCTTCAGAGAGAACCTTATTTTCAAAGTAAGAATTTTCATCAAAATACAAATCTATTATGTAACCTGATTTTATGGCTTCAAATTCTGTCACTTCAAGTCTGGTCAGATAATGTGGCACCTCTTGTCTTCCTCTCCAAGCAGTACAGACACTTGTGGATGATTGAAAGATGTTATTCCAAAATTTTGGATTTTGATGATTAATTCTGACCTATTTTGAAAAAAATGGTTGATGGAGATTGTTATATTTCTGTTACACTTTCAAAATTTTCTCCCTGGCTTGTTCTTTAGATCTATTTCATTTTCTACTTCAATATGTTCAGTTGCTTCTTGCTTCAGTTGGCTGCCAGCCTCAGGACAAGAACTGGTCCGGATTTCTTGGGCCGAGTCAGAAACCCAGATTGCTGTTTCAGGGCCATGCCACGAGGAAATGCTCAGATGCCACAGGCCAGAGCCCTGGTGCCCACAGTGAGAGGAAACTTGTAGGACTCAGGTTCTGGTTTCTACAGTTGCTAATTACCATGATGTAAGTATTCCTGACTGTGATCAGTTCAGGTTCCTAACAGGCTTCACTGAACAAACAAACAGAGAGAAGAAACACAACAGAACACCACTACTAAGTATTTCTCCCATACAATTACAATAGGCATTGATAACCTGGAGCACATTATTGCAAAGACAACTAGAAACTGATGTGTTTGAGTATTTCTCATCTGTTTTATTTTTAATTATTTTAACTTAATGTTTATTTAATTTTTTGAGAAGGGTCTTCTGTAGTTGAGAGTGACCTTGAACTCCTTATACAGCCGAGAATGACCTTGACCTTCTAATCCTGACTCCTGCTGCCACCAGCCTGGCTTATGTTGCACTGAAGACTTGGAACTCGGCATCACGGCATCACGCGGGCTAGGCAAACACTCTACCAACCGAGTCACGTCCCCAGCCCTTATTACCTCTGTTTTAAACACAATTTATGTGATCATAAGTTCATGTAATTTAACTTTGCCAATAACTGTGTTTAATAACCAGCTTGCAAAAATGTCTAGATATTTTACCATTGGCTCTATTTAGCTGGCTCTTAGTACAGTCTGTTCCCATATTTATGGGTTTAGTAGCCACAGATTGAACCAACTAAGGACTTAAGTTATTAAAAATTACTTTACTGAACACGTGTATGTGGTGATATTTTAATTGTGCTGAAATGTGATTTTATTTGTATGTTAATAAATAAAGTTTGCCTGGAGATCAGAGGTCATTAGCAAGCCAGGAATAGAAGTCAGGTGGTGGTAGCCCACACCCTTAATCCCATCACATGGCAGGCAGAGTCTCTATGTGATCAAGGACACAGCCAAGCATGATGACCCTTGAGTCTTTAATCCCAGTACCAACCATAGGGACCAGGAGGTTTGTATAGACAGGCAGTGATGAGGAAGTCATGTGGCTGGGCTTAGAGCCAATGAGAAGGCAGAACAGGAAAGCAATAAAAACAAGATTCTCAGGGGAAGGATGACAATGAGTGGTAAGCTAAAGGTAGTCATGGCTCTTGCTCTGATCTCTTTGGCTCTGTGTTTCTTATTTAATAAGACCATTTAGAAATTTGTCTACACATGTAGGCTTTTTGTTGTCTTCATTCCTAAACACAACAGTACATCAATTATAAAGTATTTGCACTGTAGTGGGTGTAGGTAATCTAGAGATTGTTAAAGTACTGAAACAGGAGGGTATGTGCCAGTTGTTTGCAAACACTACGTCATTTTATAGAGGGGACTTGAGCAGCCATGAATTTTTCAGGGTCCTTGAATCAATGGTACTAGACAGTGATGGACAACTGCTGTCTACTGCCTTTCCTTGATTATTTCCCTAAGGGAGGAAAAGAAATTGACACTTTAAAGACAGAACCAATTCATAGACAATGGAAAGAAAAATATTCCTCACAGCGGTTGTCAACGTTAATGGGCCAGGTGAACAATGCTCACCTACACCGTCCCTGAGCCCAGCTACTCATCTATGTGACAAATTTAAGATCACTTAAACTTGAGATGACTATTCTTCTAAAAAAGACTTGTTTATTTTATTTTATGTGTGTGGGTGTTTTGCCTGTGTGTCGGTGTGTGGCTGTACTGGTGTCTGGTGGCTGAGGAGACCAGAAGAGGATGCTGGATCCACTGGGGTTACTGACAACTGTGAGTGGCCAGTGTGTGTTGGAAACTGAGCCTGGGTCCTCTTCAAGAACAGCCAGTGTTCTTTGTTGGCGGAAGTTCTGTCCTGCAAGTAACCACACAGAGGCTTAATATTAATTGTAAATGCTCAGCTAATGACCAGCAGCTTGTTACTAGCTAACTCTTACATTTAAATAAACCCATATTTCTTATCTATGCTTTGCCGAGTTGCTTGGTGCCTTTTTCAGTACGACATGCCCACCTTGCTTCTCTCTGTGTCTGCTGGCGACTCCCCGGCTCCACCCTTCTTCCTCCCATCATTCTCAGTTTGGATCTCCCACCTAACTTTATCCTGTTCAGCTATCAGCCAGTCCGCTGCTTTATTAAACCAATCACAGCGACATGTATTCACACAGTGTAAAGGAATAGCCACAGTTAACTGCTGAACCATCTCCTGCCCCCAACTGCCATTCTTAATGCAGTGCAGTTGGTAGTCGGGAGTACACAGCCTCAGTGTCTTTCCCCAGCATTAAAATGATGGTCTAGAGTCTCTTCATACTTTTATTGTCATACCACAGTTGTTGAAAGGATGAAACGGCATCTCAAAGTCGGAGCACACCATCTTCAGAGCCATGCCACCTAGCTGTCACTGCCCTCCTTCCCTCATCTTCAGTCATTGTCCCCTGGTTGAGAGCTAGCCCAGCAAGACTTTCCTATGGAGCCACTCCTGCCGTCCCTTAAGCTAGCAGCCCAGGGTGAACTCCGCCTGCACAGGTGAGGCCCCACCACGCGGCACGTGCCAGGAGCGGCCAGTTGGCAGAGCCCTGTCTTCTCACCAGAAGGTGAGCACGCTCGCACTGACCCAGACCCCAGCAGCCCAGGCAGCCTGTG